TCAGAGTGGTATACCTCCTTGATGAATCTAGCTGCCAGGAGTTTGGCGATCTCCTCGCCTATGGCCCTGTGCCTCTCATTGTCAAAGCAACACAGGCGTTGCTTGGTGGGCTTTAAGCCTAGGACGAGGCATAATGCATGCTTGGTGACCTCCCACGGTATGCCCAGCATGTCAGAAGGTTTCCATGTGAAGACATCGTGATTGGCGCATAGAAAGTCGGTGAGCTCACATTCCTATTTGGCCGGGAGCTTGGCCCCGATCCGCACCGTCTTGGTTGGGTCAGTGGGGTCGATTCTCACCACCTTAGTTTCCTCGATTGGGTGGAAGGCAGTTGAGGAGGTTGGCTTGTTACAGTCCGGGACTGTTGGAGTCGACAAATTTCTGAGCTGAGGGAGATCAGCTGAGTTGATGACGGCAGTGGCAAGCTTGAAAAGCTCGAGGTCACATGTGTAGGTGTGTGAAAAGGTGCTACCCAAAGTGATGACACCATTCGGTCCCAGCATCTTCAACTTGAGGTACGTGTAGTTGGGGATCGCCATGAACTTGGCATAGCATGGCTGCCCCAAGATGGCGTGGTAGGACCCTAGGAAGTCCACCACCTCGAAGGTGAGGACCTCCGAGCAGAAGTTGGTTCGATCGCCAAACATGATGGGCAGGTCGATCTACTCGAGCGGGTATGCCTGCGTCCCAAGGATCACGCCATGGAAGGGAGAGCTCACTGGGCAGAGCTCCGACTAGGGGATGCGCATGGCGTTGAGGGTGTCGACGTAGAGAATGTTGAGGCCGCTGCCTCCGTCCATCAGCACCTTGGTGAGGCGCTTCTTGTGAACGATGGGGTCGATGACGAGCGGGTAGCGACCCGGTCTGGTGACGTGGGAAGGATGGTCCCTCTAATCAAAAGTGATCGGAGGTTCTGACCAGCCAAGGAAAGAGGGGACGACCGTTTTGGTGACGCATGCCTCTCTGTAGCGCACCTTGTGCTGGCGCTTGGAGTATATGGCATCAGATCCCCCAAAGATCATGATGCATTCCTTGGGATTGGGAAAGTCGTCATCATCCTTACCTGCCATGCCTCCTTTCTTGGCCGCTGCCTCCTTGCCCTTTCCTTCCTTTGGCCCATCGACATGCCGTAGAAAGCGCTTGAGGAGTTCGTAGTCCTTGTAGAGGTGCTTGATGGGGTAGGCATGGTTGGTGCATGGGCTCTCCATGAGCTTGTCGAAGTGGTCAGGCTGACCCTGCTGGGGCTACTTGCCCGCATGATCAGCCGCGACGACCAAAGCGGAGTTGGCCGGTCGGCGTCGATCCTTCTTGTTAGTTTTGCCCCTTTGTGTGGAGGGGCCCTCGCCTTAGTCCTCGTGCTTGGCCTTACCCTTGTCTCGGCCTCCGCTAAAGACCGCTCCGATCGCCTCCTCGCCGGAGGCATGGTTCGTGGCGACGTCGAGCAGGTCACGGGTGGTACGGGGCTTCAGGCAGCCAAGCTTGTGGATCAAGGATTCATAGGTTGTCCTAGAGAGGAACACACTATTGACGTCCGCATCAACGACATCAGGAAGGGAGTTGCATCGTTTTGAGAACCTACGGATGTAATCCTGTAGGGACTCGTTGGGCTCTTGTTGGCAGCTCTTGAGGTCCCAGGAATTCTCAGGATGGACATACGTCCCCTGGAAATTCTTGATGAAGATCCTCTTGAGATCCACCTAGTTGTGGATGCTGTCAGGCAGGAGGAATTCGAGCCATGCTCCCCCACGTAGATGGGGAGGTATTAAATGATGAAGTGGTCATCATCTACTCCTCTGGCTTGGCAGGCGAGCCAGAAGTCTTAAAGCCATATACCGGGATTTGTTTCCCCGATGGCGATGTTGGTGGGTGGTCGGAAGCGCTGTGGGAATGGCGCTCTCTAGATGCGACGGCCAAAGGCTCGTGGTCCCAGACCATCTGGGCTAGGACTCTTGTTATCTGGTCGGTGATCATGCTTGGGGTGCGTGTCCCTGCTCCCCTCGATGGTCCAGCCGTGGCCCGTGTCGCCTGCTCTCGCCGCTCCATGATGGACGTCATCATCACGCCAGGCTTGACGCCGATTGTTGATGACGCTATGAGTGTCATGGTTTAGTCTGAGCCATTCGCGCATGGGTGGTCATTGTGGAGCGGGCACCAGGTCAGGCCGTGGTGCATCTGCGACCTCCTGTTCCACGCCAAGCGACTATAGTGGTGAGCGGATGGAGCGTTCAACTGCTGCAGCCCCATTCCCCCGGTAGGGAAAGAAGCCGCGAGCCGGTGTCGCGACGTGGAGCTCTCCGCCTGTTGAACGGCGGCGGTTTCCACCAGCGCCCAGAGGTTCTGGTGAATTGCCAGCTCCTGGGGGTCGATAGGCTCGGGAAGGCCATGCAGAAGCATCGTCGCGGCGGCAATGTTCTGGCCAGCCCGAGCGAACTGCGGGGGATCATTTCCTCCGTCCAGGATGTTGCACTGGACCTGACAGGCGCGACCCCAGGCGCGGCTCGTCGGGTTACGCGCGTGTGGCGCAGCGTGCTACGCCGAGCGTGCCAGCGCAGGTGGCAGTTGGCTCTACCGCCTTTGTCGCAACTTTTCATCGAGCTCCTACGCACGAGCGAGGGCCTCCACATGAGGGTTCGAAGGGGTGTGAGTCTGTAGAGATTCCGCTACCACCAGTGGGTGTCTCAGATCGTCCGCCATAGCGCACTCCCAGGATAGAGGGTGGCCAAGCGCCACGTCACCGATGCTTGAGCCATCGCTTTCAACCCTGTCATCCACGTGGTCGTGAAAAGAGGTGGGAGCATAACCCACCATCCCCATGAATTCGGATGTGAGAGGGGGCAGTATCGGCGTCCTTCGGAGCCCCCGTGCATCCGTGTCTGTGGGGGACACGAGGCCATAGGAGAGCCGGTCGCACGACAGTTGTGGTGGGGACAACAGGGTCCCTTCGAAGAGTCAGCGGGGAGTATTAAATAGCGAGTAAAGAATAATATGTATGCTACTCACAGTGGGGTTTGAGCCCAACGTGGGCTCGATGCGAAGCGCGGGTGTCTCATCGTTGAGGTCGTCGGGTGGCCCGGAGCCGACAGAGGGCGCTCCTTCTCCAATGGGCGTCGGGACAGGTGCCTCCTCGCGGAGGCGAAGTATGACGAGCTAGTCGGCGATGAAGTCCAGACTTCCAAAGAGGAAGGTCTAGAGCGGCTCGAAGACAGGAGGAACCCATATCCCAACGGGTGGGAGCATGAGAAACTCCAATGAGCCGAAGCGAGTTGTGTCGCTTGAGCCCACCATGCTGAAGATGGTGGAAAAGTGGGCCATCCGATGACCAAAAACGTGAACGCACGGTGTCCTCCCCACGGACGGCGCCAACTATCGGTGCGAAAAGTGACCAACAAGTAAATATTTATAGTTTTGCCGTGCGTTGTGATCGGATGTGGCCTAGCACTCAATGACATAGAGTTTATACTGGTTCAGGCAACGTGCCCTATGTCCAGTTCCAGTCGGTCGGTGACTTTATTCCTAAGCCCAGGTGCTCGAAGTTTGCTATGGGGTTACAAACGAGTGGAAATAAGAAGGCGGTGTTAAAGGTCCAGTCAGGATCTGAACCGAAGGGCCAAGAGTGACGGGAGTTCCAGCGTGCGCTAAGTATGGGAACGTATGCTCTGTGTAGCTTTAGAGTTCTAGAGCTGTTCGAGTGCTCAGAATGTTTAAAGCTTAGTAGAGAGAGAGAATCGGAATGAATCCTCCTCGTTGGGAGACAGCGCATCCCCTTTTATAGATGAAGGGGATAGCCTTACAAGTGTGTGAGAGAGAGAGCGTGCACATGTGCTACTAAGTCTTGTTGCCCACGCTGTCGGGTACAAGACAGTCGTCGACGCCCACAATACTGTTTATGTCAGACGTATGTGGCATGCTTTACCGTGTTCGCCTGGTATGGCAAATGACGACACCCACAACACTGTAAGGCAAATATCGGCACTCACAACACTGTTTGGGTTCTGACATGCCTCGAAGGCTGCAAAGCACCCTTCTAGCATGACCTGGCGGTACTGTCCTGCAGGTGTGCAGGGTACGACCCTCAGTATTGCGGTTGACTTGAGCATCTTGCTTTATCTGTTCTGTCTGATCCTTGGGTCCTCACCGAGCGGGCCTCCCCGGTCGGTCATTCCTAGTCAGCTCCGACCGTGTCGGTCGGAGAAGAGCTGTAAGCAGAGGTTCGGCGTATTCCTGGTCGGAAAAGCGGATCGAAGTCAGAAACGAGCGTTGTCTCCCTCCTTGGCCAGGCCTTCCCGTCGAAGACTGGATCGCTATTTCGGCCTGTCGTTAGGTATCTGGGCCGGCCCAGAAATCACATGTTGTTATAATGCCGTCTGCTGGACCGAGCTTTTAATGGGAAGCGGGTCCATCGGGACCCTGGATTTATGAACCGGACGGGATGGGTCTAAGATTTTGCACGGATAAATCTTACGTAGGATGCAAGATTTCACAGATGAAGAAATGCTAAGATCACATGGCACGTATTGAATCCACTACAACAAATGTAATGTAAACTAAAATGTTGACGAATTCGTCGCTATATAGACAAAACGAACTCAAACGACCAACGGGCCACCCTAGGCCACGATTCTCTCAGCCCAGGTTGTTCTAAGCTACAAGGAAAAAGATAGCTTGATCTTATCTAATTATCGTTGAAGTCCGGTAACCGATTTATTGATCTTTTCTAGTTTTTGAAACCATTGATGTATGCTTTGTGGTTTTAAAAGTAATTTTTGGCCGACGTGTCACCCATATCATAAGCAGGAGAGAAAAATCAAACTACATTAGTAATTTAAATTCTTAAAAAATAATGTTTGAGACATGTTTTTTTAAAGAACCCCCCCCCCCCCCACACAAAGTCACGAAGGGGCTGAAAAACACGACCATTCCAGACTCTTGATAGTCGGTAGATCATCTCATCATCGTTCATCCATCGCTCAGCATCGCCAAACTTTGATCAGGGCCATCCATCATTGAAGCCATTTTGAGTAAGCCGCCAATCGTGCCGGAGAGAGCAGCACATCGTTGATGAGCCTGTCGAGGTTCGCGAGCGACCTCGCCGCCGACCCCGCGGCGGCCTCTTTCCACTCTGCCGCCCTGCGCGCCATCTCCTTGCCCTTGTCCCCACCCATCGCCTCCCGTATCCTCGCCTCCACGGCCTCCCGCCGCACGTCGTCGCCGACCTCCATCGCCACGCCCCACTCGACGCACTTGTACCGGCAGTTGGTCTGCTGCTCCGCGAAGAATGGCTAGCACAGCATCGGCACCCCGGCGCCGAGGCTCTCCAGCGTCGAGTTCCACCCGCTGTGCGTCAGTAACAGGCCCACCGCCTCGTGCCGCAGCACGGCCTCCTGGTCGCACCAACTCGCCAGGAGGCCCCTGCCCTTGGTCGCCTCCAGGAACCCCGGGGGCAGCGCCGCCGCCGAGGAGGTGTCGCCCTTAACGACGTCCGGCCGGACGATCCACAGGAAATCGTGGCCGCTGCTCGCCAGCGCCGACGCGAACTCCGCCAGCTCCTGCCCGCTCATGACCGTAATGCTCCCGAAGTTCACGTACACCACCGACCGCGGGCGGGGCTTCCTGGCGTCCAGCCACGCGAGGCAGGACTGGTCCTCCCGCCACAGGCTGCAGCTCACTGCGTCGAGGGGGCCCGGGCCCCTGCGGACGACGACCTGCTCCGTGACGGAAGCCAGCGGGCCGATGGTGTATACGGCCGGGATGATGGCGCGCATGGCGTCGAGCGCCGGCTGCTCCAACTCGTCGAAGGTGTTGATGACGACGGCGGACGCGTACTCCGAGCGTTCCACCTCCTGTAGCTGGAAGTTCATCAGCACGTCGTTGGGGTCCGTGGTGCGGAGGAAGGTCGGGAAGTCCTTGAGCCGCATGTGCTTGCTCATGCCGGGCGCCCAGTCCACCGGCGTGTCCATGAACCCGTTCGTCAGCTGCTCTTCGTCTGCGCCACACAAAAAAATTCACATCGCTTTCGACGGATTGGATAGGGATGCAGAGGACCAGAGGCAGCAGCCAGAGCATACCTTTGAAGGGGATGATGCCCCTGTCGATGAGGAGGCGGAAGTTGCGGTAGCCCATGTAGCCGCAGGCGCTGGCCGTCTCGAAGAGCGCGCACGGCACGCCCATCTCCCTGGCGGCGTCCACGCTGAAGCTCATCAGGTTGTCCGCCACGACGCACGTCACGCCGTCCAGCCCGGCGAGCAGGCTTCGCAGGTGAGGCGGGCAGTTGTGCTTGGTGGCGTAGCTGATGGTCGCCGGGTCCTGCGTGGCGTCGGCGTCGGACTCCGGTAGGCCGTCAGGGATGGTGGCGAAGCGGAACGCCGTGAGGCCCGCGACGGCGGTGGTTGTACTCGGTGTTGACGAAGGTGACGCGGAAGCCCCTGGCGTGGAGGATCTTGGCCAGCTTCAGCATCGGCGTGATGTGGCCCTGCGTCGGGAACGGCACGCACACTGCGTGCGGCTCCTGCCCGGTCGGGAGAGTAGCAGCGCTCATGTTTGCTTGCCTCCTGGCCGCAGGCCACCTGGGACAATGGAAGGGATCGAATTGTTTCTTGTTTGTACAGTGGTAGGATAGTGAGGCGCGGCCGCGCCGGTTAATTCATTGTGTGAGGGGAGGCACGTAATTTACATTGGAAATGCTCTCGTTAGGGCGTTCGACCCTCTCGACGTGTCCTTTCTGGACCTAGTTTCTCTCTATCTCTATAACTAAAATATTCATAAAAGAATCATTGACAGACGTGCGAAACAAATCATCACTCGCACCCGCTCCTTTCGTGTGAAACAAAACCTTGACCGCTCGCTCGCTCGAATGACCGCCCGGCGCTCACCTCGGCCTGTCGCTCGCTCCCGTGTCATCCAACAGAAAAGGAAAGCCCTCAATCACAGCAATCCCCAATCCCATTCTGCGCACTCCAGAAGCTTTCTTCCCGTGCCGCAATATCTCCTCCCCTCCGGTAGCAGCTAGAGGTCGTGTGGCCATCGCCCGCCAGCCTCGCTCCCCGCGCGCCGCCGTTCTCCGCGCTTGCCCTCGCACCCGCGCCATCGCCGTCAAGTGTCGCGGCCGCTCTCGCCAAGCCGAGGGGAGCCAGCCGACCAGGGCGGTGGACTTGCCTTCCTCCGACGTTCTCTCCCGCCGGCCTCGCTCCCCGCGCGCCGCCGTTTTCTGTCCTCGCCGTCGCCCCCGCACCATCGCCCTCGCCCTTGCCCTCGTTCTTGGCATCGCACGCCGTGGCCGCCCTCGCCGTTCTCCGTAGCGCCTCAGTTGACTTGGGCGTCAGGCGTCAAGCCTGCAGCGACCCAGTCGGCCAGAGTGTCAAGCGCCAGGCACCCAGCCACCAAGCGGACGAGCAGTGCCCCTGCAAGCTGCAGCCTAGCCCTTCTGCGGTTCAACCCTTGCTCGGTTGCCCCCTGCTACTGCACAGTGAGTAATTTTACTAATTAGTGATTTTAATCCATGTCACAGTTCACAGATCATGTGTTAATACTTGACCATTCTTATAAAATGAAATATTTAGTCATTTCGCATCTCTTGTATTATAACATGACTTCTGTCTTCTTTACAGTAGTTTTTCTTGAGTTTACATAAGCCTAAAGGGGGTAGGCTATACTTTTATAATAGTTTTATACCATTAGATGATGCCAATTTCAGAAATGGTTGTTTCTAGCATACTTCTCTCTTTTCTTAGTTGTTGTGAAATGCCTGGAGTTATCTTTTATACCATTAGATATTTTTTATTGTGTTTAACATTATCTATCCATCCAATTCTCATCCTTTCCCCACGCCATAAGGTGATGTCAAGCAATTATTTTTACAGAAAAGCTAATGATCAATCGGTTGATTTGCCGGTTGCGATCAACCGGTTTTTGGGCCGTGCAATGCGGAAGCAATGGCCTCCCCCACCCTGCGATCATGCTGGTGTGTGCGTGCGTGCGTGCGATGCGTCCCTGTGCGTGCGTGCGTGCGCTAGGCTTCAGCATGCATGCGTGCGATGCGTCCCTGTGCGTGCTGGTGCATGCGTCCTTGCCTAACACACGAACGCGAGCACGAAACACCCTGCGACAATCTCTCCTCTCTCACCTCCTTGTGTGGATTTTTTTTGAAATTTCTAAAGAATTTATGAATAATTTGACATATATTTCTTCGATGTCTGGAATCCATAGAAATATTTTGTAAATCTTTTTTGAAAAATTTGGCATATTTTTGTGTTATTCTCATATTACATCACTCTGTCTAATAAATTACACTGAAGAAATCACTATAAATATAATAATAAGGCGGTATAAATATAGCTATAAGACACTGTAAGTGCATAGAAAAAATTTGGTTGACAGAAAGGGCTAAAACAACCCGTTGTTGGGTAGACATCTCCTATTTTTATCATGCGCTCACTGAATTTACTGAGTTTGTTTTGCCTCTTTGATTAACAGCCATAAGAAGATGTTGAACTGATATGTCCATATTTTGTTTACAGTTGAGCAACTAACTCTAAAAGTCAAGTATTTTTTTTTTAAAAAAAAGTAAACATCCATCAACTGTTGTACACAAGAAGGTATGCAAAATCTTAGTTTCTCTTATGATTTATTTGTGCTGGTTTACCACATCTGGGGGCAATGCTTTTTGATCTGTTTTATCTTGATTCATGTATGCAAATGCAGTCGAGATCCCTCAGTTTATCCTTCACTGCAAAGTTGTATTACTTGCAGAAAACAAACACTATGTGTATTTAATACTTGGAAGTACTTATTATAATTATTTTCTTACAACTAATACCGCCCATGGCATTGTATTATAATTATTTAACACTCAGTGTATTTAATACTATGTGTATGCAAATACAGTTTAATGCTTTGATAGTTAGATCATGTAGTATTTCATATGGTCACCCATGGCATTGTGTCATCAGATTGCAGTTGTTGATTTATGTGTTACGTAGTATCATTTTGATCTGTTTAGTTTGTGGCTGTGATGCTCATAGGAAGCTCACTGATTTTTTTTTCAAAAATCAACATAGCTTTCGATAGGTTGTATGCCCACCCTTTAGACTTTCTAAACATGATATAGCAGTTTTTCCATTGCCATCATTAATCACCTTATGTTGTCAGTCAATTAATGGAACATGACCCTATATAATCCTTACTACTGGCCGAGCATACCAAACAACCTGATGTCGCCTGTAAATGTCGATTCCAGATGAAGTGAGAATAGAACACTCGCACGAGTTTAGGGAGTGCAAAGAAGGTGCAACAAAGATGACAATGTCTAAACCCTTATCAGGAAGACGATAATTTCTATTTACATTTTTCTCAACAATGGTATGTAGATAGGAACCTTAGCTAAGGTAGTTTGCAATATGTAGTTAGGCATGTATCTCCCATATATATCTAGATTAATGGTTGTCGGTTTCTATTTTTCCTGCACCATTTCTACTAACTGCTAGCTCTTAAGTGCTAATTGTAATTAATATTAGCTATTTCACTGTTTTTATAATAGATTCATACAATGGATAATACTTCTCATGCACCATTGGGAGACAAGACTAACACTGCTAAAGAAGGTAATATAATATCGTGTCAAATATTATATGGCATGTACTATGTGTATGGACTATGGTAACTTATATTACTCTAAAATTAACTGCAGTCGATGCTAAAGAACGTAAGAGAGAAAGGGATAGAGCTCGATGGCTTCAACAAAAGGATGCAATTAATAAGAGACGACGTGAAACATATCAGCAGAGAAAAAATCAGCATGTTCTTGTAACTACCAATTGTAATGCTTGAATCCTAACATATTGCCATGGCGTGATGAATTGACACTTATTTTGTCTTACAGATATATGTAATATGTACAATTTTGTAGATGACGAAGCTGCATCAAATAAATAAAACGTTGATCCTGGTGAAACAGATGATTGGCTCCATAGGAATGATTCCTATCATACCAACAATATTGTTGATGAGAACATGTCCACTCAATTATCATGTAATTAAATATGCTAAAATATTTTAGGTCTTTTAAAATGATATTGCAATAATATGACCCAATATAGCTAATGAATGTATTTATATGATTTCATTGATAGATGAGCCAACAATAAAAACTATAGAGAATGAGAGCACTATTGGTAAAAAAAGTACATCGAGAAGTGACTACAAGAGTGGATGGTACAAAAATATGACGCCCGAACAGAGGGAAGCAAGGCGTGAGCGTCAAAGGCTGCACAATGTTGAACCCAAGCGTAAGGAGCATTGAAATTGTCTAAGAAAAAATTCAAAGAGGTGAGGAAGCACACCCTGCACCTAGAGTCTATCGCCATGGAGAACCTATTATATATTCCTGAGGTTGTGTGGCCCACTGCGGGCGCATCTAGAAATCATGGAACTATGACAAAATCCAGTGATTGGGTTATCCCAGAGTTCAGTGCAACACCTCTTTATATTCCTCCACCTTATGAGGAGGCCGATGATGAAGGATGCGATAAGTTGCTGTCTGGCCATATGACACAATGATCATATGTTTCATCTGGACAAAGACATGTGTTGTTAACGCGTCGTAACACGATGTTTGAGCGTCGCATTGGCTCGAACACAAGGGCATCTAATAAAGATGGTGACTGCATGGCTAAAGACCGAGTGGGTGCTAACACACCCTTGACTCAATCAGTCATGACTAACAACGGTATATACTGATGCCTCATTATCCCATTTAGGAGACCTATATACCATATTATACATAACCGATCCATGGTAATTCCATGATTAACAGAAAGGACAGGACCCAAAATTCAGGCTACATCATCCACACCGACGGCACCACTGTTTGATGATTGTGAATGCATGGCTGAAGAATACCCGAATGATAACACACCCTTGCCTCAATCAGTCCTGACGAACAACGGTAAATACTAATGCCTCATGACCCCATTTAGGTGACCTATATTGTATACCATATTATACCAGCTCAACCATGGTCATTACATGATTATCAGAAAGGACAGGACCTAGCTCTTAGGCTGCATCAGATGCACCAATGACACCACTATTTGATGACAGTGGTAATTTACACTATTTTGTAGCATTTTATAAACTATTTGAACTCCTTTGTTTATTTTTACCCGTAGTTCTACTAACTCACGTATCTTTGACGGCCATAGATGATGATGAGGGAGATATATTTGAAGAGGATGATGAAGAGGATGAGGGATACCTATTTGTCGGGCAAGGTATTTGTATGAAAGAACGAATATAAATCAAATCTTCCACTACTTTATCTAAACTATTACGGCTTAAATGTTATTTCAGAAGAGGAAGATGATGATGATGTCCAAGACAATGACCTTGAGGAAGACACGACTTCTATCCCTAAAGTACCTGACCGATATGATGAGGTGTATAGTAACATGCCTATAGATACCCATATGTTAAAACCTATTGCAAATTGCGAGCACTGTGATGTGAAAAGGTTTGAGCATGAACCATGTGGGTTCTGTTGTCGCGACGGAAAGGTCGAGCTCAATGAACTAAACGTACCTAATGAGCTTATGAGGCTTTGGTCAAGTAATGACGTAGATGCTAGGCACTTTCGTAACAACATTAGGTTTTTCAATGGCCATTTCTCTTTCACTTCTCTATATTGTCGTCTCAATAGCGCTACTGCAAGCTAGAAGAACAGTGGCATATACACCTTTCGTGCACATGGCTAGATCTATCACAACATAAGGTCATTTGGTAGAGAAGAGGGTAAGGGGCCAAGACATCTCGAGCTTTACTTCTACGATGATGATCCAAGCCTTGAGCACCGCTATCGACGATGTCATGAAGAGAAGTGCCAAAAAGACAAGGAAGTCATTAAGAGGCTTATGGCCATCCTTCATGACAACCCATACTCACAACATCTTAGGAGTGTGGGCCAGGCTCACCACCTCGAGGACTATCATGTCACACTAAACCTTGACCAGAGAACATACAATGTACCATCAACTTTAGAGGTGGCTGCTATTTGGATCGAGGGAAGCGAACTCCTTGGTCAGTTCTAGAATAGTG